CTTGCCTTTCATAGAACCACTGTTTGACCTATTAAAACCAGAAACGTTTGAACATCTCCTTTGCATCCACCCTTAGCCCCACCCACCAATGCCGCCCCTCACTGCCATCATTGTAACAACGATTCGAGGAACTCTTTTCTCGGCTGGTCCTACGATCAGGGCAGCAGGCATTGGTCAATCTAATTTCACACCTCTGGCTTCTGGCTACCCAGGAAAGTTTCCGTGATGGCTCGCTACATGAGCACTCTCACGGGCAGTCGTGAGTTTTCACACCCGCACTACACTGACCATCTGCATCGCTCAGGGCTCACATGATGGGGTAACATCTACCCCCAAATTGCACCCCTACTCCCCTTCCTCGCCCAGCGGCATGGCCTTAGCGTTAAGTTTAGAGCCGGCGGAACCAAACTTGCAAGTTTTGTTTCAAATCAGGGCTGAGTGGGCAAAGCATTTTCCATCTTAGACAGGTGAAACCCTCTGAAGGGAGCGGATTTTTCTTTCCGTTTCCGCGTTGGACAGGTTTCCGTTTTATACAGGTAATTAAAGAGGAATATATCAAGGGGGGAGCGGAGAGATTCCGTTAAGACAGGTTTCCGTTTTATACAGGTTTCCGTTATTAAGGCAGGTTCGACTGTATTTGTTGAGTGTGGTGCTGTTCATTTGCTTACGAAATGTGGAGGGCTTTATGTTAATTGACACTGTGATATGATTGTATTGTGTTATGGTTTGTCCTGCTGCTGTCTTACTTTAGATGGTGTAAATTTTATGATTGATGTGATGTAAGAAAAGGGAAAACCTTACTATGCTCATCATAATACTGAGCTAACAATGTTGTGTTTGAGAGAGGGAGGGGGGGGGGGCGCTACACCTGAAGCTATCTCGCTTATTATTGGACCAAATTTACCAAATTTCACACATATAACAAGCAGATTCAAAATCTGCAATCAAATTTAAGAAAAAAAGTTTCGTTTACATGGATACGGCGGCCATATTGGATTTTGTTGATATGTCTTACATAATGAATACCGCATTTACTGTGCGTGGAAATTTGTTGTTCATTTGCTTGCGTGTTAGCAAACATTGGATCTAAAAATTTGTTTGTTGATTGTACCCTGAACGAATTAGAAAATTTGTAATGAATTTTTTCCTGAGGTAGTGTTCAAGTTTGCAAAAAATCCGTGAAAATCCACACTCCAGACACCACCAACAAAAACCTATTCCGTGTATTAAAAATTAAACTAACAAATTTTTAGTATTACATCTTCTCTTCATTCTGTGAAAATTTCATGAAGATTGGATGAAAAATGGTGGAGTTATTAAAAATAGTATAGAGAAAAATCACGTTTTGAGAAAACGGCCAATAAAGAAAAATAAAATATTGACTTTATGAGGAAATGGTGGCGACGACAAACATGCCTGGTATGGGAAGAAATTTAGGCTTTTGGGGGTTCTTATGCAGTGAAATAGTTGTAGGAGAGGCTGAGGAAGCTAAAAATGCCTACAACTCAAATTCCATAATTTTTAGCCGAATCGGGACTTTGGGGTGTAGCCCCCCCCCCCCCCCCCCCCCTAAAAAAGATCGGGAAGCTTTAAAATTCCACAAAGAACCCGAAATTAAGAATGTCCAGTTTGAGGTTTGAACCAAATTCA